GGTTCTGGGTCTCTGTGAGGCTCATCCAAAGTCCAGAACTTGTCATCCTCAAAGAAATCCTTGTTGATCGGTTCTTCTCCATACGTGTACCTGTCTGGTTTGAGGTTTCCTATGTCCACTGGAATGTCATTGGTATCTCGAGGATTGAACAAAGTCTTCCTCAACGAGTTGTGGTACCTCGTGAGTGTGGTGCCATCCATGCTGATTGACCATGCATCCTCAGTGTACTCTTCAAACATTTTTCGATCTTCATCTTCCTTGGGGGTGCCTATGAGGTTCAGCGGAAATTCCTTGAGCGACACTAGCGTAAGTGTGCGATACTCTTTGCTACCATCGAAGATTGTTCCAAACGGCTCTTCGAGTTCCTCAAACATGATGCTGTGATGCAACAAATACCACTGACCATCATCCTCAATAAGCACTGCTCGATATGCGAACTTTCCTGGTGGAAACATCAAGTAAGTATCAACGTGTTCTGAGGTTCCTAGGCTGAAGTGGACTTGGTAAGGGTCTCGCCAGTTGGTCCAACCAACACGCTGTTCTTCAATGAGTTCCTTCAAGTTCTCGCACAAGTACATAGGGATAGGCTTTGCTTCTGCTTCCCAGTTGACTGCTCTCACAAAGGCTTTTGTTGTAAGTGAGTTGTTGTTGTAGTTCACTGCAATCTTGGTTGTTCCTTCTGTTAGGAAAGTGCCTGTTGCTGTTCCATCTCTGAACTCCCAGCCTTTCTTCAACAGTTTACCTACTGCCAGAAGAGGGTGCACAACCGATGAAATCAAGAACACTTCTTCAACCTTCACAATGTTTCCTTGAATATCCCGAAACTCAACTTCAATAATCCTTTGGTCTGAAACCTTAATTCGGGATCCTTGCGCATCTCGCAAAACTACCTTGGTAGTGTTGGGTGCTTTCCTTCCGTACTTCTTCATCCACATTGGTGCCAACGAAATGTCGGCTCCTGAATCCAGCACAACCTCGATCTCTCGAGTTCTCGTGTTCCTCGCTGCACGCGCAAACCTAGTAATGGTCCTTGAGGGTGCTGTTCTCTCTACTCTGTTCCTTCTAGGAGGATGGTGACATCCGTTCTCACATTCCTGCATGTCTGGGTGCCACGGTGTTTCATGACATCCATTGGGACACTCAAAGTAGTATCCACGGTCCTGAGTTCCTATCAGAGTTCCTTCTAGGTGCCATTGCAACCATGCATCATCACTCACCTCATCACAGTCCTGAAACTCATCATCTTCATCACCAATCCAAAACTCTTCTGTCTCACTTCTCTCTTCCTGAACTTCTTCACCAACAACCCGCAAAACTCTTCCGAAGTACTCAATCTCTATCTCATCAGAGTTCTCACTCATCTCGAATTCCTCCGGAAAGCTTGTGGGCTCGTCTCCCATGTGGTACATGGAGACCATCCTAATCACTGGTCTTTGGGTTCCTTGGCTTGCTTGGCTTTGGCTTGTTGAGGTCTTGTTGGCTGACGAAGGGGCCTGAGTCGAAGTACCTGTAGTGCTCGCTTGCTCGCTCTGGTTTTCAAGGTCAACGTTCCTTGCCTGATAACCCATGTCACGCATCTTCTGCCTACACTGTGCTTCGAAATGTCCATACTTATGGCAGTAGTGACACACTCCTGTAGCTGCTTGGGCTTTTCCTTTACCTTTTCCTTTGTGTCTGAAGAAACCTCTTCCTCGACCTTTGCCTTTTCCTTTGTAACCTCTGAAACCTCTACCTCGGCCTTTCCAGTTACCTCGACCTCTGCCTTTGCCAAAACCTCCGAAACCTTTACCTTTACCTTTGCCTTTACTGTCAAAGCCGAAACCTTTTCCGAAGTCCTTTCCACCTTTCTTGCCTTTTCCTTTACCTTTGCCTTTATGGTGAACATAACCTTTGCCATAGCCTTTCTTCCCTTTGTACCATGCTTGGTTGATATCCATTGCTGCAAGACCACCATGGTCATCACCTTTGTCGATCAAGTCTGTTGTGGTTCGGTGAGGTGTTCCTTGCTGGGCTGCTAAAGAGTTAGTCCAACGCTCGGTTGACTCATAGTTCACAAGGTACTGACGAAGAGTATTGTACTGTGTCTTCTCATCCATGTTGAGCAACAAGTGCCTTTTCACGTCAGGTTTCATACCTTGGATAAGCGTAGATACTTTTAAATTCTCCTGTACCTTTTCTCCAGTCGCCTTCTCGTACTTCTCGATGTGTTCCTCATATTCGAGGATATTCTCAGCAATTCCTTTGTTGTGAGCAAACTTGTAGTTGAGAATGTTGTGAAACAACTCCAACGATCTCGCTCGATTCGTTGGTTGATATTCCTTGAGTAGCATACGGTAAGCTTCCATACCGTTTTCCTCAGCTACATGCTTTACAACTCGGTACGGCCTTCCTTTAGTGTACGAACAAAGAACACTGTACAGGCGTCGGCTTGTTTCCTTTGCTTCTGCAGACATCTCAGCCATCTTCACTTGTTTATCATCTTTTAGGTTCCTTTCTGCGATGTCCATGATCTTCACCATGTTGGAATCCACTGCTCCAAGCCAGATCCGAATCCTGTTCCTGAACTCTGACCATCCACTCTTCTCTTCTTGCCATGTTCCTGGGGAAAATGCTTCGGGGCTTTTAATCAGCTTGTGCAACTCCACTTCTCCAGGCTTTCTTTGTTCCTTTACTGCTTTCTCCAGAGATGCTCCTATCTCCTCAAGTGTCGTTGCTGCGTTCGTGTGGGCGTCTGCCAACGCTGTTTGTGCTGTCTTCTGTTGTTCCTGAACTGCTGTCAGGGTTTCCTGGAATGCTTGTGTGAGTCCTGCTTCTCTTTGGCTTCCTGAAGCTGCTGAGTTCCTGATTTCCTCTGCTAATGTCTGTATTCCTTGTAAGGTCTGTGCATTGATCTCGGCAAGTGCCTTCAATGCATCTTCCATTCCTTTTGCTGTTTCAAGGTTGCTGTACACTAGTGCTGCTAAAAGTAGCGACTTGCACTGTTTCCTGCACACTGCTTGTGCTCTCCTTTCTCCTCTTGTCTTCCTTTGGTGCTTCGAGCGGTTGCTTGCTCTTGCGAAAAACAAACTAGAATAGTACGACAGGGTGATCCAAGTAATCAGTCCCATTGGGGTTCCTAAGAACACTGCTATGCGAATTCCTTGAAATACAACTCTGTTGGAAATGACTTCCTGAACTATCACATGCACGACGTCGTGAAACTTCTTTCCTACAGTTGCTAGCTTTTCTACGAAACTGTGAACATGTTCCTGTACAACTTTCCTCAGTACTTCTCGCTGTTGTTTTACTAGGTACCTAGGGGCGTAGCCTGACTCAAGGCTCTCACTCTCCTGGTTCTCGGTGTTCTGGTCGCCGTTCCTGTTCTCTTCCGTGTAGTACTCGCCGGTCACGCTAACGACGCTGTAGAGCTCGTTCATCACTTGGTTCGCGCACAACAAAGCGTACGGTACCATGACTTTTCCTATCTCCACATAGTCCTTAATCGTGTACGCGTTCGTGTTCCTGATCGTGTTCACGTTGGTGCCGTCGGGGTTCACGCTGCACTCGTTGTAGCCTTGCTGGTAGTACTCGCCGTACACGTCATAGTTCCTGTAGCGGTTCCGGTGCGTATTGGGGTGCGTATTGGGCTTCCTTCTGCTCGACCACACTGCCATGAGCTCGCTCTCGTCACTCTCAACGTACGGTAGTTCCTTTCTCCCACGGCTCGCTTCCTTGGAGGATAAGGCGTCTCCAAGGGCAAGTTCTTCCTTGGTCTCCACTTTGTTGCCAAGGGCCTGCCACGGTCTCACCGCCATACTTCCTGCTCCTGGGACCAAGATCATCCCGCACAAAGTTGCGAGGCTTCCCAGTGCGAAACCAACCAGCAGCACCATACATGCTGCCAAACCGTAGCACTTCATGTTCCTTTTCTCTTTCTCTTCCACCAACACTCGGTCGGGGTAGCAATCGCTGCAAGCGTCAAAGTCTCGCGCGTTTCCTGCTGTCACGTTGTGGTTACGAAGGTGTCCACAACCTCTGCGGTGGTACTTTGTTCCTGAACGGACTGCGATCCTGAGCGTGGGCATGTTGAGCACTGTCTCTGTCTTCTTGGTGATCTGCTCATTCGCGCGCATCTGCTTCCATCCGGCAACGAGGCAAACTGCCATGGCGCCGAGCATCATGGTTCCTATGGCTACGAGTAGCATCATCGCTGCCAAGGAGGTTCCTGGAGGCAGCTCCGCTACCATGTTAAAGAACGGGCTTCACTAAGCTTCCTACTCTCAAACTGAAGCGGTCACTTTTCCTTGTGGGTCACTGTGTCCGCTGGTCTCGAGCCTAGCACGTCGCGTGTGCGTGACGGCTGTTCCTGTACATTAACTGCACTGCACTAACTGTGTTACTGTTCCTGGCAAGATGTTTAACAGCCCACCTGAAAAGTCGGTGACACCCAGCACAAGGTTGTCAGCATCATCGTTGTTCACATCACAGTGAACCTCAGTCTTGACGTTAAGATTCAAGGAAATCGAGCAAAATGTGAAATCTGTCAACTTGGGCCCGCCGTGCTGCACGGCCCAAGAGATGGCCAAAATGACCGATTGAGGAAAAGAGCGACAAGTGTTTGTGAGGCCAACGACGCCCCCATGTCGGAAAACACCTGCAACAAAGGATCTGCCAGACTCTGAGCCAAAGCGTTCATCCAGTCTAGAGGGTAACAAACTAAAAAGGCGCTCAATGCAAGATGCTGTCACAGGTTCACCAGACGACAGCACGTCTTGCGCAAATTGCTCTGCTGGATGCAAAGAGACGTGCACTCGCCGCTCAGCGGGCAAGGGAAAAACTCGCTCATCAATCACAACATTCGGGATTCGTTCAGGCACTGCTGCGGCCGGCTTGGGACATGCCAACGGGCCCACCTTATCTATCTGTGTCATCATGCACTCGTGGTTTGCCGCCTGGGGCGAGACCGAAGGGCTCATCGCCTCATCAACAAGAGAATCGGCCTCAGCGGCGGCAGCCTCCCGTCACTCGTTGACTTTGTAAGTCGTGCATTGAAGGAGAGAGTGAGGCTGCTCGCAGAACATACAAATGTGCAGGCCCCTTTTACAGCTCTCTCCAGGTTTCGCAAACTTACATCCAGCCTGCATATTAAAATTCCAACACAGGCGTTTCTTAGTCTTGCTACAGTTGTGCTTCAAGCGGGAGTCGGATAACGCTTCAGGACACTTTCCCTTACCTGCACCTTTACCGGGTCGGTGAGGAGGCAACTTCGGCTTGCCATCGGCATCACGCTTTGTGCCCTTGTCGCCCTTTCCATCGCCCTTCCACTTAGCCCCAGGAAGCGGGGCCAGATGCATCATGATTTTTGGATCGTACTGAAGCTTGTCCAGAGCAGCATCCATTGGCAGGTTTCCCGCGTCATCTTTCTTCAGAGAAGTCAAGAGCTCACTCATGCGTACCCATGCCGCCTTGTCGCACCTGAGCAGTTGCTCCATCGAAACCTTAGCATAGTATGGAGGCGGCTGCTCCGATAGCTTGGCAAGCAGATGCCTGTGCCACAAGTCCATGGAGGCAAAAGTGCAAAGCTGCAGAAGGTCGCAAGCAAGTGCCCTGCGACACAGGGCTTCGGATAGCTGCAACTCATTCTGAATGCCACACTTATCTTTGTGGGCCTTGTCGCGGATACTCATGCGCGAGCCCTCATCTAAGATCAACTCTTTCCCTGGCTTTTCTCGATTCACCTCCATGGCCCTGGTTAGGAACCTGTGGGGCTCCAAATAGGACAGGCAATCTTGATCAACGACCTGGGCGACATAAGTGTAATTGCTGAAAGCGTTTTCCAAAGGACCAGTCAAGCTGAGCCCCACGAGCCTTTTCCGCTGATCGGTTATACGATTCGTCCTCTCAGCAGGGGCCAACTCCGCTTTCTTTTCACCTTCACCCTCAATGGAGCTTTTAAGCTGTGCAATGGACAGAGTTTGAGCCTCAAACATGAGGCGCCGCAGCGCCGACAGTGCACGCAACGGCACAGTCGTGGGGTCCGCGGGATCAAGGATGGACCTGAGCTCAGCCTCCTGCGGTACTTCGCCCGGGGTCGAGACACTGAAGGCAAGGAGCGACAAGGATGTCAAACCCTTACGCACGAGCACATCAAGCTCAGCTTGCGTCAGCCCACATTCCTTGGCCCTTTCTTCGAAAGCCGCCTGACTCTTCAGGATGGACGCCATGGAACAGAGTTGGATCCTACACGCTCAGACCTACAATGACAACAGGTGTGTACATGTTCAAGCTCGATAGAAAATTCAATCCCGCAAGGTCATTTCCAGCACGTCATGACACATGATCCCGCAAGGTTCTGAGCCGTCCTGCAAGTGATCGCAAAAGAAGGTATCCCGCAAGCTCCACATAGGCAAATCAATGCAGGCAAACAAAAAACCCCTGAGGCCTCCAGGCTCATTGGGACACACTCCGAAACACCACAGCACGGACTTTTACTCGGTCCTCGGAATCTTCTTCAATCGCTCGTCAAGGCAGTGCACCAAGGACCCTAAGTCCCTGATGGGCTTTCCCTTCCAGCATTGTTTGCAGCGCCAGTGCGCTGCTTGAACCGCCGACGTGAACGGCTTATGGTTCGCCGTGATATCTCGGCCACATATGAAACGCTCCATGGAGCTTCCCGCAGGCTTAAGATGAAGAGTCCTGGTGTTCTTCTGCTGATAGACAGGGCACCGATCATGATACCTCTGCCCCACCGGGGGGTCTGCTTGACTCGCAGTCAGGACTTCATCTATCTCGCTGTCGGAGGAGCCTGAATCGGAACTAGACTCGCTGGACGACGAGTCTGGCTCCTCCCCCTGAGACCTATCGTCCTCGAAAGCAGCATCCGGATCTTCCCACGCAGCACGCTCTGCACTATGGATTAGGGAGTCCACAGCGCGACTGAAAGGGGTGTCATCGTCACTGGCATCCCTTTGATCGCTGAGGCCAGGCTCGGAAGCAAAAGCATTCGCACAAGGAAGGGCTTCTGAGTCACAAGCTGAGCCAGGGCTGACCGCCGGCCGGTACCAGTTTCTTTCCGCCTCAGTCTCGAACACACTGTCGCCAGGCAGCTCCTCGGCCGAGTCAGCAGATGCAGGGCCCTTTGCATAAAGACCCGACCTGGTCATGTCTGGGAGATACCTGCCACACCGAATGTCACAGTACATCTGACACAGCTCTCGCAATGGCCCAGCTTGAATGTCCCTGGAGTAGGTCACGACCGATCGTCTATCTTTCAAGGAGTGGTGCCCCAAGATGGTGCAGGAGTCCTTGGACATGTCCGTCTTGCTTGCCCACGACAGTGCAGTATGCTTGCACGAATGACCCTTGAAATCAAACCCCATGCTCTCATCCCCAGACTTGAGGATCGAAGAAATCCAGGTCACAAACCTGCCCGTCGGAATCCGGCGACCACTCCAAGACCCATTGAGCATAGGCGACTGCAGCAAAGGCAGGCTGCAGGATCCGGTGGCGACTGGGTGGCCCGACAGGCGCCACACCTCAACCCAAGCTTTGGCCCAAAGACCTTGACCCACACCCCGCTCGGGGGCCACTAGGCTCAACTCGAGCCCCAACGGGTTACCTGTCGAGGCACACTTGTGCGACGTCGAGATGCACTCAAGGAAACCTTCACCCTCTGCAAAATCGATGAACATTGCTTTGACTGCCCTCACATCCCCTACACGGGCTCGCGAGTGAATGCAAAACAAGCAAGCACCTGCAGCATACCTATCCCTTGCATCACGGCGGCTGTCCTGGACAAAAGCCTCAAGGTATGCCACCTCTCGAACCTGGAAAGGCCTCGCCTGCACACGAGGCGGACGGTTGAACCGCACCTTGCGAAGTCGCCCTTGCACAAGTGGGTGCTTATGAGGCTCACCAGTGGCATCCACACCCAAGATGAATCTAGCGAAGTTGCACGCTTCAATGCAAGATCCGAACACAGAATGCGAGGCACCACTCTGCTGCAAATGCTGGGTGTACTCAATCAACACCTGAGAGTCAATCGGGAAAGCCGACATGCCTTGGTTCGAGCACCATCCCACCAGGCGGGCGAGACTGGACAACCGCTTTTTCAAAGTCGAGAGAGCCTTGCCACCCAGGGCTTCGGCAACAAGACTGACCCGATCTGTTTCGCACTTGTCCTTCAACAGTCTGCCAAGGGAAGAGCATTCGTATGCATGACTCAAGAGGATATCGTATCTCGTTGCAAGCAACTGCAACTGTTGCTCCTCAGTTTCTTGGGGCTTCTGAAATTTCCTGGCAGAGAAAGCGACCTGCACAAACTGTGAAGCATGCTCTTGGGGGTGAGCCTTGGCGGCTGCCTCCTCGAAAGAAGCGGAATCCAAGGGCTCCGTCTGCAGAGGAGCTGGCACACTGCACTGGGAAAGTGAACTCAGGTCGCTCTGCGAAAACACTGCTCTCATCGCCCCGCGCTCCCAGGGCATCTTGAGGGAATGCTTGGACACATGTTTGTCTGCAGCAAGCAACAGCCTGTCGAGCGGTCGCGCCACACCCCAGAATATGCGAGCGCTCACCTACGTTGGTAGATCCGGCTCAGGCGGCCACGAGCTCGGTGCACAAACTCAGCAATCGTACAGAAAATGTAAGCCACAGCTCGGCAACTAGCCCGCAAAGGAAACAGTCGATCAACTCCAATGCTGAGCAAAATGTGGGCTCCGGCTGAGGCTGCTCCCAAGAACTGAGGAATGCCCAAGCGGGCTGGCGGGTCAGGGCGCAAAATAGCAGACTGCCAGCCTGGAAGTGTAAGACGCTCCCAGAGCCAGAGGAGCAGAAGACGCCGCAAGGCAGGAGGCGGGCGCTGAAGCCGCCGCCGATCCATGAAGGACCCCGACTACGCGGGGAGCTAAAGCCTTGCGTAAGGGGCCCGGAACCTGTTAGACGAGAGCATCAAGCCTCTAGAGGGCCCGACAAAAAATTTTCTCACGCCTGCAAGCAAAACTTGAGCCAAAATGGCTACAAAAGATTTTCTCACGCCTGCAAGCAAAACTGCGAATGCCACTGACATGCATGGCAAAGCAAACGTGAGAAAACATCATGTCATGCAAATAACCCCCGCAAGACATGACTGGAAAAAAGTGCGCCCGAAAATTGTAAACAATTTTCCAACATGAAAACAATCAAATAAGAAAACATCCCCCTTCGGGAGAGGTTGTTCATCTCTGTCATCACCAAAATTTTCATGTTAACCAGTGCCCTCCTAGGTTGACTCTGCAGGCACACTTTTGCCTTCGCACCGCCTGTAAGTAGCTGTTCAGCGGCAGAGCCAGCATAAGCTGGGCGAGCCCCGGAGACTGCAGAAGGGCAGCAACTCTTACGGCCGCCACCAAAGTCTCCACTCGCTTTCGCCGTATAGCGTGGCATCCACGGGTGGGAGGGTAGGGCCCGAAAAACTAAGGTCGTTCGTGGTGAACATGCTGGTCATGTTAACCACTGCCCTCCTAGGTTGACTCTGCAGGCACACTTTTGCCTTCGCACCGCCTGTAAGTAGCTGTTCAGCGGCAGAGCCAGCATAAGCTGGGCGAGCCCCGGAGACTGCAGAAGGGCAGCAACTCTTACGGCCGCCACCAAAGTCTCCACTCGCTTTCGCCGTATAGCGTGGCATCCACCAAGCTCAGGGGCCAGCCGAAGAATTCGGCGAGCGCAGGGCTCGCGGAGGTGCAGCGAAAGCTGCATCGCTGGCGAGTGCGGCAGAGAAGAAAAGAAGAAGGTCACAGAAACTCGTAGAAGGTGCCAGCGGTGCGAACCTTAGCGGCACAGGCCTGACTGAGCGCCGTGAGCGCCGAGGCAGCACCAACCTCCTGCAAGTAAAACTCCAGAGTATGAATATGGCGCAGCCGCATCCTCCATTGGATCTCGGTGATGGCCACACCACTCCTGTAACTCTGGACCGCGCCTCCACCTCGAAGGCCACCTGGCGTCAGGCGAGCTTCCGCCGGGACGCTCAAAGTTTCAAGCAGTTTGTTCCACCTGTACCGGTAAGCTGAAGGAGACTGCGGAAAGAGGCGGTAGCCTCCCGGCCGGTTTCCATAAAGTTTTTCCAGCAAGGCAACCGCTTTGGCATCGGTGATCTTCATATGTTGTATCCTCCCGCGTTTTCTGTTCATAGTCTTTGAGGATCGCAAGGTCAGGTACGCAGCTCGGCTTTGGTTCCACCAGTCGTCGCTAGGCAGAAGGAGGTCCGATCGAAGGACCGGCAAGACCTCTCCGATCCGCCCCAGCCCGTAGTAGCTCAACAGAGTGACCGCTGCAAAAGCGACAAATCCAGAGAGCCACGCCAGGGCCACCAATGCTTTCAGAACAGGCTCCGGAACCGGTGTCCTATGCTGGACCGGCTCGGCGTGCTCCCATCGGCTCACCAGTTCCCAAACGTGCGAGGCCCAAGGCTTCAAGTTCAGAAAACGGCGCTGAGCTCCCAGGATAGTGTGCCGGAAATCGTGTATTGACCTGCTGTTCTTGAAAAGCCAGTTCCCATAGGCGCGCAAAGCCATGGCGAGGAGCGCAGGAGACTTAGCGAAGACAGACAGACAAGGATCCGACAGAGACGGCTGTGGCTTTGCAACGGCCGGTCCTCGAGTCCAACCGTGGAGTCCCGGAAGAGCCGACGTCCGCGAGGGCCCGGGTGTGAGGCTTCACCAAGACGGGCGGTAGGGGCGCCGGCCACACAAGCAGACAAAGGAATCTGCAAAAGTCGATGGCCATCGGAAGTCCACCCTGCTTTTATCGCGGCTGCAGCAGCCACCAGCTCGGCGAGCGGTCTGGGGTAGGCCTGTGCAATCGAAGTCCACGAACGGTTGTCGGGAGCAGCCCGGCCTCGCAGCACCAAGTGGGGCCGAGAACAGTTGCAGAAAAGCCTCTCGCCAGCCAAAGCGGAGCTGTCGCACACCGCGAAACGAGTCCGCTTGCGCCACCGGGTCCCGAACCGGCATTGATCCACACGAAGAGTGGAAGGGGAGACGGCTGGAGCAAACTCTGCAAAGCCTGCCAGAAGCCACATGAACGAACCGTCGGGGCCCTCAATCCAGAAGTGCCCGTCGGAGTTAGCACGAAAAGCGCGGAGGACATGTGCCACCCAATCGGCCTGCCGGTTTCCCTTGGTCACCTTTACAAAAGCAACGCGGCCAAGTCCAGGGAGGCCTCTCGGATGAGCACGCGATCGCCACGGCGGGTGCACGGCACGGGAAAAAGAGGAGCAAGGCGGGGAAGCTCCAAAGGAAAGGAAAACCTGTGCTCGGAGGAGCAACTCAATCATCTTCTGAACGGTGTCGTTGTCAAGGTCCTGGTCGGGGCCATGCTCAATGTCAAAAGTCAGGACCCAGGGAGCACCGCGGCGAGCCAAACCGCGAGCGACACCGGAACTCCCACTGAACAGCTCCAGCGCGCCTTTCTTCGAAAAGTCAAGAGCGCCGCCCTCAGGGAAGAACTGGCCACGAGGCAGGCCGGCCAGAACGGCCAAAGCCGAGCAAGAATCGCCAAGGGCGAGCGAGCCACGCAAGGGACATTCAGACCGGCGGGTGCCGCAGGCTCTCAACGCTCTGTTCCTCCTAGCTCGCCGAGCTTTGCCCGAACTCCAACGAAGAGCCAGCCGATCAACCATCTCAGGCAGGAAAGTCTCCTTGGCACGCTGTGCAACAACCTCAGGCTGGGCTGCAAGCCAGGTCTCGAAAGGAGCGGTGTCTCCCCGGCAGGAACCACGGCGGCAGAGCTTTGCTTGGGGCTCGTATGTCCCGCGACCTTGTGCCATCATCCGAGGGGTTGTCAGCAGAAGCCAAAAAGGCCAGACCGAGGTAGAGGTCGCTCCCAAACATGGTGGCAAGAAACCTCTTCAGCAAAGTGTTCAGGCCTCCAGACGCCGACCTGCCTTTGAGAGCAGCCCCAAATATCACCTGCGAGTCTATGCCAACTAGTAGCCGCAAGCCGCTTGAGGTGCGAGCGACCCGCCGCTCTAATTCCAATAGCCCACGCAGCTCTTTGATGTTGATGTGCTGCCCAGCGGCAGCTGGCAACACCCAAGCAGTGCGGAACCGAAGTGCTTGTGCAAGCTCTCGCCACAAAGGGAAAGGCGTGTAAGAGTCCTCCCCAGGAAGCTCTGCGCTCTCAGGCAAAAGGCCCCTGGACCGCAGCCAAGCTTGAGAAGGAGGGAGCAGTCTGTTCCAAGCCCCTTTCACCAAGGTGTGCCGGTAGCACTCATCGGCGACCTGAGGTGGCAAATCAGCCACAGCACAAGCGATCTTATCGTCGGAGGCGTCCGTGGTGAAGAAGCAATCGCACACCTGGGCCCGCAAGTTGGCAACACACAGGGGCGCAACAATCACCCAAGACCAAAGCTCATCAGATAGAGCAGCGCTGAGCCTTATCACATCCCCGGGCACTGTGGCACGCAGGGCCTGGAAGGCGACGTCAATCAAGCAAAGAGCGCGACGGCGCACCAAGAAGATCGAAGTCCATGACCCGACCAGGCTCTCGAGGAGCGACCGAGACACAAGCCCCAAAGCGGCAACCCGAGCGGTCACGAAGGCGACTGGCCAGACACGAGAAGGGCTTGGCCGAAGCAGGCCATCGTCACCGGAGAGCTTGGCACCCCAGAAGGTGGCAACGGCAGCGTCACGCACCCCCTTTTTTGGATTGGCTTCCAGACGGGCTTCAACGTAAGCTGCGTGCACTGAGTCCAAGCGGCGAACTCCGGGAGCATCCGGCCTGCCCTCCCCGCAGCCACGAAGGCAACGCTCCAAAACGACGAGTCAATGACGATGCCCACAGACAGCAAGGAGCGCGGAAAGGGGTGCGTGGGAAGGAGCAGCTCACTGCTGGAGAGCAGACCGAAGTGCCGAAGGACTCCCACATGAGCCGCTTGGGCGTACTCGCAGGCACAGCAGTCCCCCATACCCAGCGTGGAAATCGCAACTCGAACCCGGCGACGAGAGTCGGCGAAGGGGGAGCAATCACGGTCGAAGACCCACTGCGCCTCAGCCAGTGTGAGGGAGCCGCGCACGAGGTTCCTCTGCAGCCGGTCGGGCGTGACAGCAAACAGGTAGAAGTACCCAATAGACCCGGTTAGACAAAAAATTGCCGTCTCTTCGATCCTTGTAAATCTATATATTTCTACGATTTCGTCAAAGTGTTTCGGCAACTTGTTTTGCCGAAAATAGTTTAATCGTGAAACGCCAATTAGGAGAATCGGTGGCACGAATTAGATTAAAATCGTTTTGACGATTTCGTCAAGATTTGCCGATTTCGACAAAGCTCGTTTTGACTATTTCGGGAAGATTTGCCGAAATAGTTAAGTCGGCGGCGGCCCAAACTGCTATCAAACTGCTTCACTCAACGGCTGAAACTGCTACACCTGTTTTGTGTGGTTTTGATGGCACATTTTTCAGTATATACGGAGAAGAACATTTCGAACTGTTCGCATGCATGTGAGTTTTGTAAAAGAAAGAGACATACATCAGAGGATAAGCAAGAAAGAACGACACGGAGAGAGAGAGAGGGAGAGAGAGAGAGAGAGAGAGAGAGAGAGAGAGAGAGAGAGAGAGAGAGAGAGAGAGAGAGAGAGAGAGAGAGAGAGAGAGAGAGAGAGAGAGAGATACAGAGAGAGAGGAGAGAGAGACAGAGAGAGAGGAGAGAGAGACAGAGAGAGACAGAGAGAGACAGAGAGAGAGAGAGAGAGAGAGAGAGAGAGAGAGAGAGAGAGAGAGAGAGAGAGAGAGAGAGAGAGACGTGCAGAGACAGAAAGAGCAGGGAGAAAGTGCGAGGACCTTGACTGACCGACCTCTGAGTGACCGACCTTGAGTGACCGACCTTGAGTGACCTTGAGTGCCCGACCTTGAGGGGAGTGTGTCGCCGCAGGTGCTTATATGGTTCCTGCGACACCCTGGAGATTCATCTTGCTGTGTGCCAGGGCCCCGATTCCAGAAGTTTTCGCTTCTCAGTCGGATGCTGCGGGTCTCTTTCATGTCGGAGTGAGGGTTCTCCTGTATGTGCACACAACTTTTCTATGTATCTATCTATATCAATACCCTCGTCTATAGGTCCCTATATCTATCCATATATCTATCTCAACCTATCTTTCTACATCTATCTATCTATCTATCTATCTATCTATCCTATATGTCGCATGCAAGAACCCAACAGACACAGACACACACAACCGTGGCTGTGCTGTTGCCACCTTGAGGGATCAGGCTTTGTTGCTCACCTGGAGCGAGAAAGAAGCACTCCGAGGGGGGTTTAGGCCTGTGTGTGTGTGTGTGTCACACATGGCTGCTTCGAAACCTCCCCGCTTGGTCGCAGACCCGAGCTTGGGAGTGGCCGACATGCAGACGGCAGTCGAATCCTATTTGGACAGCGATGATTGCAAGGTCAAGCCGAACTTGATGGAGCTGCTCAAGCCCCCTGTTGGTGTCACCTGGAAAAGTGGAGTGTCGGCCAGCTACCTGCACAGGGTCAGCCCGCTTTTGAGCTGCTACCTGAGGAAGGTAAGGAACGGAGTTTTGCCATCAAAGAAGAACAAGCTTGCTTTAGCACGTTTGGATGAGTCTCGCTCTTTGAACGTTTCCAAGAACAAGACCAGGGCGGATTGGACGGACTACATCGATGAGATGACACGGATGGCACTCTCTCACGTGAGAGGTCTCAAGATCAGCCCTGTGAGCAAAGAGCGTCTGTGGAGGAAGTCTGACACTGTGCAGCAGCAGGCCATCCAAGATTTGCTTGATCTCCTGGTGTTGCCGAAGCACTGCCCAACAGACGTGGAAGGCGAGCCTTCCACGAACATTGAGGCGGCTGAGCCCGCTTCTGCCTTGGTGCCTGTGGCGAAGGAGGCGGATGACGAGATCGAGGAGATCAAGACCACAGCAGTCTTGGCAGCTGAGGCTGGGAAGGCTGCACCGAGCGATGGGCTCCAGTCCCCATGCCTGAATCCCGAGGATATCTTCTCTGCGATCTTGGCGAAGCAGGATGATGATTTCTGTGTTGGTGATGGTGTGGTCGCGAGATCGCCTCCGAAGCAGCTCTCAAAGAGCCAGGCGATGATTGTGGACAAGTCTCCTGAGAAGACTTTGGTTTCTCAGGTGGATGGAGGAGGAAAGCCGTTCATGCAAGGCTTGCTGAAGTCCGGCCTGCTCTCGGCCTCCGAGGTCCAGATGGTGCAATCGACGGCCTTGCAAGAGGCACCGGTGAAGCCGAAGCCGAAGGCGAAAGCTAAGGCGAAGACAAAAAAATCTTCGACGAAGAAGCCCAGCAAGAAGGAGAAGACTCCTCAGAGGGCGGCATCCTCGGCTGACTTGGAGCCCGCCAGTCCGGCCAAGCCGAGTGCGAGCCTTCCGCCTGCCGAGATTGCCACCCCGCCGCTCAATCGCTTGAAGTCCAAGCAGTGTTTGGAGCCAGGTTCCAGTGAGAAGACGACAGATCAGAAGAAGGTGCTCAAGCTTGTTTCCGGTGAGAAGCAGTCTAAGACCAGGAGGAAAACCGATGATGAGATCGCGAAGTTGCCCCCTGGCAAGAGGCGAAAGTTGCTGACGAGCAGGGCTTATCATATCACGTATGACCAGGCTGTTCGCGATGGCAAATCGCCGGAGGAGGCTGGCAAGCTGGCCCGTGATGCATCGCAAAAGGTGAGGGATGAACTTGATGATGAGAAGGAGCAGGCAGCCAAGGAAGGCTGAGCACATGCCGGTTTGGGCTGTGTCATCGCTGTGGCGAGACTAAGTCTCCTTGTGCAGTTCTCGTGGTGGCAGGGCTTCTTTAAGCATGGATACTTGCCATATAGGAACCCAATACCGATTGCATATAGCTGGGTGCTCAAACATGTTGGAACCAGAAGTCCGTTTTGAGCCACCGAACAACAAACTTTCGATAGCCGAAGTGCTGGGAGCGGAGCAAAGAGAGTGTGTGCAGAGTGAAGTTCTCCTTGCTAGTCGTCGTGTGCTCATTAAACCCCCAAACCCACCCAGCTGTGAGTGACAAGAGCTTGCGATGTGTGTTCATATAGATAGTGCCTGTGTGCTCTTTTTGTGCTCTTGCCGAGGTTGGGCCTTCCACGGTGTGTGCGGCGACGAATCGCGAAGTTCTCAGAGTGCAGCCCTATATATTATACTATCTATTATACTACTACTACTACTACTACTACTACTACTACTACTACTACTACTACTACTACTACTACTACTACTACTACTACTACTACTACTACTACTACTACTACTACTACTACTACTACTACTACTACTACTACTACTACTACTACTACTACTACTCTACTGTACCACCGCCAGTGATTGCATGCATTAGGGAAGTGATTGAGCCAGTGATTGCAGTGTTGAGCCAGTGATTTTGCATGCATTAGGGCAGTGCTTGTGTGACTCACTTGATTTGCCCAGGTTTTGTGAGTTCCACGGTGTGCGGGGAGGAATCGCGATTTTCTCGGAGTGCAGCCTCACGTGTGCTCTAGGAGTAGCGGCGGCAGTGAGTGTGATTGTGCATGCATTGCAGGAGTGCTTGAGCCAGTGATTGCAGTCTTTCAGAGCCAGTGACCGCACACATGCATGAGGGATTGAGCCTGATTGAGGTTGTGTGGCCCCGGTGCGAACGAATCGCGATTTCTGCTCACCTCTCAGAGTGCAGCCCTACACGATTGCAGTCTGTTGTGCACTGAGCAGCTGCATGAGCGAGTGATGCAGTGATTGAGGGCAGCTGCATGAGTCAGTGATTCAAGCGACACATGCCGGTTCAGTGTTCGGGTTCTCAGCTGCAGAGCAGGATCTATGTGTAAGCATACACGTACACTAGATTGTAGATCCTGAACATACCTCTTTCACACCTCTCAAACTGAAACACCCTACATAATCCGGTTCCTCCCAAACCAAACACTGAATGTCTGTATAATGGTGCCTCAGCCCACAAAAAGCCCCTTCCGTGATACAGCCACAAACATGGACCGTGTGTTTGTTCGCCACCTCAGCTTCGCCGTGAGCCAAAAGCAGATCCTTGATTGGGTAGGGCAGGAAGCTCCTTCTGCAAAGGTGACCGCTGTGAACGTTTTGAGGGCCGGCCGGTCTTATTGTGACAATAGCTACTGCTCGGCATTTCTCACGGTTGGTTCGAGGGAAGAGGTGGATATCCTGGTGTCGAGGATGCACAATAGCCTCACGTCGTTGAGCGATCGTTGCTTACATGCTGAGAGAGCAGTGCCTCGCATGAAGCATCTGCCGGCCACCTGGCCACACATGTGTATTCATTTTTGGCTTTGTGGGATTCAAAATCTGGGGTTTATGGGTTTGGGACTGGGCTTCGTGTACTTCGGATTTTTGGCGCTTTTTGTTTGGGGAGCCACATTCTTTTGAGCCCACATCCTGGCCCTCTCAGGTTTCAGCAATGCCGACCGGTTAGTGTACTTGTTCACATCTGTTTTACTACTTTATGTTCGTGCGAACATTTGGCTCAGTTGTGCTGGCTAGGCATCTTTTCGAAATGCGTTTTCATGACATGCATGCTTTGCATTTTACATCCATTTTGTAGACATTGTCTCAGACTTCTTTGCAGGCAAAATTTCATAGCTTTACAACATCACTTCGCACAACCTTCTTTTGTAGTCTCCTCGCGGCCGGGGGGGGTGCTTCAGCCCCACACGTGGGCTCATGGCTTCGAGTGCGGGGCTAGCGGATACCGTTGATGCTCTCTCAGTGCAGAGTGTTGGTCACCAGCATTATCTTGATTTGCTCTGCCGTTGGTTGAACGAGTTCGGCAGACGTCTCTCGCGAGTTGAGCGTGCACTGTTGCGTGTGTCCCGCTGTGAGCGTGAGATCACACGCCTCAATCGCTGCAACTTGCTGCTTCTTAGGGCGCTTGAGGAAGCTAGGGACGAGATTAACTCCTTGCGTGCTAGGGTTGCTGCTCTTGAGACGGCCGGCTTGTGAGTATGAAGCGTCCTGCGGATCCCGATTGCAATCCCAAGCTTAAGTTTCCAACATTGCCAGCCTCAAGTGTCGCTCTGCCTGTACCAAACCCTAAATGTAGATCCTCAGCCCCGCCTCTGCCCGCCAAAGGCCTGGATCTTCCTGAGCCTCCTTCAAGCCGGGAGCCTGATGCTCTACCGGCTCAGGCCTCGAACTCTGGGCCCGCCTCCTCTTTAGGGGGTTCTTTGGGTTTAGGTCCGCCTGCCTCTTTGGAACTTGATGATCTTCAGAAAGCTGCTGCCGCTTTTAGGTCTTCGGGTTTTAAGCTAGGCCAGGCCCCTTCTGAAAGGCAACGCGCTCAAGCGGGCATCAGCGTAAATGCTTCATTTTCTCCAATTGCAAAGCAGGCATTCCTTGCCGTTATCTTGTCTTTGGGGTCTCTTAGTGAAATAGGCCAGGGCCTCACAGGGAGCAAGCAGGATCACTTGCCTCGGTTACTATCTTTGTGCGTGGCATCGACAGTGATACGCTACTGCTCTGCGTTCAAGCAATTTCTGGCTACTTTGAGTGATATGCAGATTTCGCTGGACTCACTCACGTCATTTCAAATGGCTGATGCATTGGTCGTGATGAGTCTGGCCCGTAGCTCTGATCCTGAATCTGGTTCTCATTCTTCTACAGCGATCAAAGCGGTTCGCTGGGTCTACAAAATGCTGGAGGTGGCATGTCTTTCAGTGAGCCATTCCCAAATTATTACCAGTTTTCTGAAGAGTAAGCTTCCTCGCGAAAGGAAGGAAGCGGTACCGCTATCACTATATGTGGTGACTCAGATGGAAAGAAGAATTCTCTCTCGAGAGGCCTCGGACCCTGAAATCCTGCTTCTTGGTTCCTTCCTCGTGCTCATCTGGGCATCGCTGAGGTTTATGGACGCTCAGAGGGTCCATTTTACTTCCTTGGCGTATGATGGCCAATCGCTGCGAGGGAGTTGCTTCCAGACAAAAACCACTTGTTTTGGACAACCATTCGGGTTGCTTTGCCATGGAGTCACGGATCTCATTCTTGGTGTCATCGATTTTTGCAGGCACTAGACAATGCAGTACATCAGCATCTTGCTCTTCACGCGGGGATCCCTTTGCCCTCGAGCCTCTTGCTTTCGTTGGACAGCGCAGGCAATATTCTTCTACCATTGCAACCGATGAGCTACGCTGCTGCGCTTCGGCATTTGCGCCACGTGATAACTCTGCCCTGGAAGAGTAGTCGGCCCTCTGCAGTTTCTTCACCGGCCCTGAATTATACAATACACTCTCTCAAAACCACATTGCTATCGTGGTCAGGTCAGCGACCGGAGGTATCGCAGATTGAGAAATCTTGCCAAGGCCACCATCGGCTCTCTTCGAGCCAACTCTACAGTAGGGACGACATCGTCCCCTCCTTGAGGGCGCAGATGAAAATACAGCATGCAGTTCGCTCAGGTGCTCGCTTTATGACTCCCTTACACCGGGGAGCTCAGTCCCCCATGGATGAACCGGAGGTCCATTTGGAAAACTTTTCAAAGGAGGTTGGGCCTTGCAACTGGCATTACTTTCGGCATTTCTCGCTTCGCTCTGGCAACAGACTTCCTTTTGTGGATCTTCCTTCGAATGAGAGCTTTCCGCCGGAAAAGCAGAAACAGGAGCCGTCTTTTGTGCTGCGTGATATCCAGTCTTCCGATGAGGAGTCGGGCGACAGCTCTGGGGATGAAGGGCCTTCGCTTGGTCCCGCGGACGAATTCCTCTTCGGGGCATTGACAAATATTCAGCATGTCCTGGTTCGTGCTTCTGCATCCAAGGGCATCCCTTATGAGGGCGCATTTGTCAGGCCAGCATGTGGGGTTCCGCTTCCGGCAGATAGCATTCGCATCTCATCGGATTTCAATCCCAAGCTTCAGCTTTGCAAGCGTAGGGCTTGCTGCATAGCGTATGGCCAGCTTAAACAGTGAGTCGCATTTTGCGCAGTTGCTAAAAAATCTAAGCAGCTTCTCTCGGTTGCATGCTCTTATGCGTCAGCTTGCATTCCCAGGTTGTTGCAGCATGGTCACGGGTAAGTTATTGGCTCAAACACGGGTTGCTTTTGTGACGCTCAGGTTAGCTCTGCAATAGCATGGAACTGCAGGAATCCACCGCGGCTCGACGGGCCCAACTCCTAAGGCTGGTGCGGCTTCCCTACGCATCTCGCTTTGTTCGGTTCCATTTTGCAGACTGGTTTTATCTGGTGCAATCAATACGAGAATCAGCGCGTGTGCTTCAATATCTCTCCAGCTGGTCATGGCGGCAGCTGTTGCAAACATCAGACTACTATTGGCACCGTCTCAGAGTTCCGTTGTATCAGTAAAATCGAATGCCTCGCAGGTGAGCGGTTGAAAAGATTCCTTGGGGGCTGGGTGCAACAGCTTTGCTACTCAGGGTTTTCAGTTGCGTGGGGCTTCTCTGGTTGTGCTCCGTCTCTGGCTCTGGTCCGGGCCTCAGCCGTGGGCTTTCGCACTTTGGGTCACGCTGATGAATATGCGCATTGTCGCTTGCTCTTCTTTGCTTCAGAAAGCATTTTGGGCTGCATCTATGCGTTACCATTATCCTGGGCTGCGGTCGGTTGCTGAGCTACTAGCCGACCCGGCCATACAATGCTGAATATGCGTACTTGTTTCAGGCTCTGGGCCTAGGCCTCGCGCGTCCCTGTAGTCTCGGCTCGGGTTCCCTCGGTTCTAGGCTCTCTTGACTAGGGGGTAGACTCGCGCCATGTCCCTGAGTGATATTCTTAAAGCTGAAGGCCTCTCGGAAGCTCTCATCAAGGTGGCAACCGATGCGGGGTGGACTTTGTCCACCTTCCGCCATGCGGCGGATTCCCCAGCTGATCTTGAGAAAGTGCTTCCAGAAATATTTGGATCTTCAGAGCTTTCCCGTCTTCAGATTGCGCAAGTTCGGGCAGCGTGGGCTGGGTTGTCGAGCAGCGCATCTTCGGCCCCGCCTGCAGTTCCCGCATCAGCTTCAGATACCAGTTCTTGGGTAGAAACCTTTGCGCCAAAGATCACTGCCTTGAAGCTTACGGAGTACAAGAAAGCCTTTCTTGCCGCATACACGAGCGAGATATTGTCTCCATGCTCAATGCCTTCGCTTCGTCTGGTATCCCTAGCTGCTCATCAAGAAAGTAAGAAAGACTACAAGTGGATCCCCTGGAAACATCGCATGTCAGAAGAGAAAGCGGCTGAGCTTCAATTGAGTAGGCCAGCCAAACAGCCGCGTTTGGAAGCGCTCGGCATTTCCAGTTTGCTTCTTGATGAGCCTCCCACGTTGGAGGTGGGCGATAATTTCATGGGTGTCAGTGCAGTGCAAAGGATCCTAGCGATCCACGATGTTGCATTGGCTATGGTAGGCTCTTGTCACCTGGCTCGCTTGAAAGCTTATAGTAGCAAGTTCATACATCTTTTGTCTCAGCGCCACGAAGCTTCATCAGGCTTGCGAGCTCCCACAATTCTAGAGGCCCAGCAGGCTGATTGCAAATTGTGGCAGGGGATTTATGCCCTAGTTCTTGAAAAGGATTGGAGCTTGAACGATGCAATCTTCGAGTATACTGAAATTAGGGGTGACATGTCAAACTTGCTTCAGGCTCGGGCTAGGCCCCCCCCGCCCTTGCGCTTCAATGAGAAAGGCATCAAAGGCAAAGGGCTTGGTCGCTTCATGTCGGAAGCTTGGAAGGGCCACAGCTTTGAGGGCAAAGGCAAAAGCCCCGGCAAGGAAAAAGGCTCCAAAGGCAAACCCTCGGGCAAAGGGGGTGCGGCTCCTGGGTGAAGCATGTTCAGGTCAATGGCGAGACCAAACAATTGTGCATGCAGTGGCAATCAGGGAAATGCAGCAGGGGTGCGAGCTGTGCATTCTTGCACAACTGTGCGTATCCGAAGGGGGATGGCTCCGCCTGCATGAGCAAGTCCCATAATGCTATGAATCACGCATCGACTGCGCACTGACAATCTGCACTCGGGCTAGTTTCACCGGCTTCAGAGCCGGCGGGTTCCTTAGGACCAGCCGCTCCAGTTCAATCGCAGAGTTCTTTACCACAATTTGCAGAGTCGAATTCGTCTACATCTAGTACTTTTCAGCCTTCAGGCCAGGGCCCGCCACATCATACAGTGTCTCTTGCGATTTCTCAGAATGCTTCTGCTTCCCCGTGTAGGGGCCAGTTTCCACCAGCCATTTTGGCATCACAGCACTCAGCTTCGCTTCCATCATCATGCGTCTCGGCTTCGTCTCCGGTGTTCGGAGGGGCTTCTGGCAGGGAATCTTTCCCTGGCGTGGTACCCTTGTTGGGCACTGCTTCGGAGCATCCGGCTCCCAATGATCCGCATCTTGCGGGCGTGCGTCAGGCTCCAGCTTCGCTTCACAATATGCCTAATGGTGCTCTACAGGTTCCGGCCACTTCGGTAGCCTCTGCTTCTGAAGTGCATGTTCATGATTACGCTTCATGCCTCGCGTTACTTCAGTCAGCTTGTTGGCCACCACCGAGCGCGCAGTCTCGCTCAGTAGTGTCGGCAAACTCTGTTTCATCAGGCTACTGGAACTTTGGTTGCCAGGTCAGCGATCGCACGGCACTCACTCGGGTGTCTCGAGCTCTGCCGGCTGTATGCAAAGCTCTGAACAAATTCTTGCGCTTACAGTTCCCAACTGAATCCTGGAACTCGCTGTGCGTGGCTAAGAATGTGGTCACCTCGGCTCATCGGGATACAGCTAATGTGTTGGGGTCTTTCAATCTTTCGGTTAGCTTGGGTTCCTTCACGGGGGGTTCGCTTTGGCTTGAGGATGCATCAGGCGATCATCTGCGCTTCATACCAACGCTTAATTCCCAGCTTAAGGGCAAACTCCTTTGCACGAAAGAAAACCCCATCAAATTCCCAGCGCATTCTTGGCATATGACAGAACCCTTTTGTGGTGAAAGATGGGTCTTGACTGCCTTCACCATGGCAAACTGTGACAATGCCCTGCTGGGTCCGCTTGAATTCCCTATTTCTCAATCTGTGTCCCAGGCATCTTCAGTGCGCCCTGTGATGACGCAGCGAGCCGAGCCGTTATCAGCCGCTTCAGGAAATACAGTCAATTGGGGTCAACCTTCGGCTTTTGGGTTTAGGCACCATTCCCTAAGGCCCCCGGTTCCCGCCCCGGCCCCACGTAGCCCCTCGCATGCACTGGATGCTCTAGCGAACATCCCTCAGCGCTTTTTCCTGGACATTTGCTCGGGTGTGACCAAACCGCTCTCATGTGCAGTGGAGGCGTGTGGCCTGGCTACGCTTTCCATTGATATTCTTTTGGACCCAGCTTTTGACTTACTCCAAGATGATTTCTTTGAGCAGCTTCTGTTCATTTGCGGTTCAGGCGCAGTGGGTTACTGCGCGGCAGCTCCTAGCTGCTCGCATTACTCGCGCTTGAAGCTTTCAGGTGGGCCACCCTTCCCGATCCGCACGCCGGAACACTTGGATGGAGTTCCCGGGTTGGGTCCTTCGGACCTGGCTAAACTTCAGGAAAGCCACGAAATCCTGTCTCGCTGCTGCAAATGTGTGTCCATAGTCTATTCAGCTGGTGGGCACGGTCATATCGAACAGCCTCCAGGAGCAATGTCCTGGGAAGAGAGTTGCCTACAGTCTTGGCTTCATGAGTGCTCAGCTTCCATGATCTGGGTGGCTGCATGTGGCTATGGCCTCCCCTGGAAAAAATCATGGTTGTTTGCTTCCAGCTTTGCGCCACTGCGCAATATGGGTTGTGTTTGCGAGCATGGAAGAGATGCACATCCAGTCATGCGCGGCCTCGACAATTCGGGCTTGTTTAAAAGCAGGCAAACAGCTCAGTATCCTGAGGCACTTGCAACCACTTTTGCAGCTCAGATTCAAGTGCTTCTGGCCAAGTCCGGCCCTGCATTGACATTGCGTGATGCCCTCACATTGGTGCCATGTAAGCCTATGGATCAATTACCCCACGCAGTTCATGATGGGGCAGGTCGTCATTCGCACGCTGACTGGAGTGCACCCTGCGCGCCAGATCTGTTGCGAAACTTGCGCTCTTTCCTGCTTAAGGCAACCGCATCTATGAGCGGTCCATCCCGCCTGCTTCAACGTCGCTATGAGCCCAGCAAAGAACCGCTTTTTTCCGCTTCAGAAGTTGCTCGGGTTAGGGAAGGTTTTTTCTCGGCATTAGGCATTCCAGCTCCAGCCAACGCTTGGCTACAGAGGGCACACCAACCCTTGGCTTTAAATGCTTTGGAAGCTGTCGCTCGAGTATGCTTAGATGCGGATACAACACTCTTCCCATCCTTGAAAGCAGGCGTACCAACGGGTTTCCAGTCGGACATTCCGCCATCGCATAGTTTTTGGCCCAACATTCGTGAATCTTTAGATGACATACCACTCTCGATTCATTTGCAGAATTGGCGCTCTGCTACGGTGGAACCTGCCGTTACCCGCAGGCTGCTTCAGGAGGAACTTGATCAGGGTTTTTGTTTCAGGTTCCAGGGATCGTTGGCCGATGCCCAGCAACGTTGGCCCCTGGGGGTTGCGCTTGGGAAACTTGCAGTGGTTAGGGCCCCAGGTAGATCAGAAAGGCTTTGTCTCGACAACTCAGTGTGTGGCACCAATGCGAACTGTTCGGTGCCAGAGAAGCAGCATATGCCTTCAGCTCGCGATGTGTTGCATTCCTATCCTTTGCGTGAGTGCTCGCAGATTCAAGGTGCGCTCTCGATAGATATTAAGAGTGCCCATAAGCGCTGCGTGGTCAAAGATGCGGAACAAGGCTTGCTTGGGTTCACATGTGAAGAACCAGACGGGTCCAATGCCCTCTACTTCTATCGCACATGCCCATTTGGGGCCACGTTTGCCCAGCATTGGTGGGGGCGACTCGGCTCATGCATCCTTCGTATCCTTCACATTCTCATCTACATAGCCCACACGGGCCACCTGTTTGTAGATGATTATCTCTTTTCTCAGGAGATGTCCATTCTTCCAGCAACGGGTGCCATGATTTGCATGTTCATGCAGATTATGGGGGTGCCTCTTTCCTGGCACAAACTTCAGATCGCTGTTCGGGTCACTTGGATAGGCTGGGATTTTCAGTACTCTGCTGGTATCGTGTTGCTTAAAGAATCAAAGCGCTTGAAATTGCTGGGCATGGTGCAGGATTTGCGTCAAAACCCCCGCTTGACCAAAAAAGATTTGGAACGCTTCATTGGCTTGGCACTTTGGGCCACAAGCCTTTTCCCGGTCATGAAGAGCATGCTGCACACTTTCTATCACGATCTTTACAGTCCAGCTGCTACGAACTACAGTATTCCACCAGAACGGTGGCACGAAATCGCAAGATACTTGTCGCAGGATTTGCATTTCACTGTGACGCCGCCAGGTACGGGGATTCCCATCGGTTCCAAAATGCTTTCGGCGCGTCACCAAGACCTGCATTCTCTTCAAGATCTTGAAAAAGTTCGGGTATCTGATCGTAGGCTTTGGATTCGGGTTTCTAGTCAGCACAGTAAGAAGCGAAAATTGAGCTTGAACTCGCTGCGCATTCTTGGTCTCCTTGAGCATTGGCTGTTGCACATGTCACCATTCCGCTCGATGCGACAGCCAGCCACTCCGCTCTTTGATGCACGTGCGGATGCCAGCGCCAAGGGCTCTCATTGCTGCATAGGGGGCTACGTTCGCCATCCTTCATTAGGTCACCGCTGGTTTCAACAAACCTTTGCTCACGCTGATTTCTTAGCTTTGGGCATTGGGGTTCAAGCTGATATGGCAAGGGAGATTTCGTGTTATGAAGCTCTTGCACAGGCAGCGCTGATACTTGCGGCATCTGCCTTGCTTCCATGCAGTTGCATCCCAATTACTCTCAGAGCTCTTTCAGACAACACGGGTGCTGAGGCAGGTGTTAACGACTCCTTGACCACAAGTCAGCCACTGTGTTTCTTCTTGGAACGGATTTCCCTTCTTGCGGCAGTGCATAGAATCACGCCTGATGTTTCGCACATACCGGGCGAGGCTAATGACAAAGCTGATGCACTATCTAGACCACAAGAGCATCCCTTGCCTCACGATTGTTTGCAGCATGAGCGCATTTCAGCAACGCTTCAGGATCTTTGGCTACCGCGGCCAATGATCAGTGTGTCACCTTCTTCGGTTCAGCTTCCGTGGCAAATTCGTTCGCGTGGAGTGCCCACCAACCTCACATAAATTCGGGGTGTTGGCTTGGCGAGGTTGCTGGGTAGTTCTAGATTGGTGCGGTTGGACCACCCATCAACCTCGTAGTACCTGCTTGACTTGCTGCCCGGACTTTGTGGGCATCCGGCACTCCACGGAAAAGGCAGTCCTTCTGTCGTTTAATCCCTCCGGGATAACGCCTAGCCAGCACAACTAAAGTAGTAGAACGGTTAGTGTACTTGTTCACATCTGTTTTACTACTTTATTTTCGTGCGAACATTTGGCTCAGTTGTGCTGGCTAGGCATCTTTTCGAAATCCTCACCCACCCGCCCGTTTCACGCTACGCGGTCTCACCGGCATTGGCTACAAGAACAATTCAAGATCCCCGTAAAAAGAAAATCAAGAGTACCGGCTTCGGGGCAGCCGTATCTAGAGTGCTGTGCTTCACCATCGTTTCACACCAGCTCGTACACTTAAACCTTAGGGCGTAATATACACTTTCAAACCTGAGCCCTTTCGTTTGCTGCTACACATCGGGCTGGTTTCTTGGCCTTTGGAAGCCAACCGACATGGCCTATGGCTAAAACGCTGCAGCTTCTCTTGCATGTACTACCGCCACATATGATGCAAACGCAACTGTAACCGTTGCGTCTTTCTGTTTCGCTGTTCTTATAGCTTTCGATTCGTTTCTGCTTAGCTACGCATATGCATCGCTTTACGCTCTTTCCTGTTGATGGTGCGGTTGGACCACCCATCAACCTCGTAGTACCTGCTTGACTTGCTGCCCGGACTTTGTGGGCATCCGGCACTCCACGGAAAAGGCAGTCCTTCTGTCGTTTAATCCCTCCGGGATAACGCCTAGCCAGCACAACTAAAGTAGTAGAACGAGCCCGAGCTGGCGAGCGACGAGAAGATGAACCACGAGGCGACAAGTCGTCGATCTATCTACCTATCTATCTATATCACATTCTTTCTATGTATATGTATATACATATTTCTAAAGCCTGAGCCCTAGACCCCTAAACCCTATAAAGCCTTGTTGCTTCTAGCATGTGGGCTGCTTGGACCAACCCAAACTTCGACTTTTGCAGGCTCGATAGGTGGAAGTTGTGGTGTGTTCCAGTGCGGCATCGAATAGCTTGAAACAGTTGCTGTGTGGCACGTCCATCTATCTATCTATCTCTATATATATATATATATATATATATACATATTAATATATATTGATATATATATATATATTCATATATATTCATAGATATTCATATATATTCATATACATATATATATATGTATTGATATATATTCATATATATATATATATTAGTATATATATATATATATTAATACATATTAATATATGATCAATGTATAATTGCACCTAAACCCAACACCCTTGCTGTTACTTGAACTGGGATAAAATCCCTAAACCCAAACTCCAAATACCTTATACTTAACCCCAAACCAAAACCCTGAACCCTGAACCTAAACCTAAACTTTGAACCCCCAAAGCCCTGCCCTAAACCTTAAGCTCTCTCGGACACTACATAAAGGGCCCTAACTTGGAGCACTACCCAACTTACATGACCCCGGCAACCCTTCAAAACACTACCCTAAACGTAGCCCCGAGAGCCTTGAAATGCACAGTGTGATATATCTACATTTAGAGCACGGGCTGTTGTCGCAGGACCCGGGCCATGAGAACACCAACGAAATCGAGCATCCTGAAGAGAACCACCAGGAGGAGACTTTTTCTCCACAGGGACCTAAACCTAACACCCAACACCCTTGCTGTTACCTGAACTGGCATGTAATACCTAAACCCAAACTCCAAATACCTTACTTACTTAATCCTGCCCGTAATTACACAGTGTGATATATCTACATTTAGAGCACGGGCTGTTGTCGCAGGACCCGGGCCATGAGAACACCAACGACATCGAGCATCCTGAAGAGAACCAGACTTTGGGCTCCACAGTTGCCGAGGCCGAGACCCAACACCCTTGCTGGTACCTGAACTGGGTTTTTCTCCCTAAACTCCTAAACCCAAACTCTAAATACCTTACTTAATCCTGACTGTAATTACACAGTGTGATATATCTACATTTAGAGCACGGGCTGTTGTCACAGGACCCGGGCCATCAGAACACCAACGACAGCGAGCATCCTGAAGAGAACCAGACTTTGGGCTCCACATTTGCCGAGGCCGAGACCCGACACCCTTGCTGGTACCTGAACTGGGTTTTTCTCCTGACTGTAATTACACAGTGTGATATATCTACATTTAGAGCACGGGCTGTTGTCACAGGACCCGGGCCATCAGAACACCAACGACATGCTCGCTGAAGAGAACCACCAGGAGGAGACTTTGGGCTCCAGAGTTGCCGAGGCCGAGACCCTAAACTCCAAAGCCCTTAAAAACCCCAGGGCCCTAGGTTTGACTTCTGCACTACTTTGTGTGATAAGGTTGTGGTACATGTAGTATAGAGTTTTTGGGTTTGAGTGGTTTTGTTTCAGGATGGCGAGGCTTCCGGTGCTGGTGGTGAGGATTCCCAGCCCTCCAACGGAGATGGCTCGGATGACAGCAGCTACGAGCAGGTCCCAGGGCATACAAAAAAAGGTTTATGGGGCTTCTGGGATCCAATGGGTTCCTGCGGCTTGGGGTTTTAGGGCTTAGCTTCTAAAGGGTTTCAGGCTTTAAAGAAAAGGCCTCGCCCCTCTTTTCCGGCCCGGTTTAGAGTTTAAGAGTTTAGGTTGTATAGGATTATATAGTTTTTCATGTATATATCTATATATGTATATATACACGTTTACCATGTATGTATGTATGTATGCATGTATGTATGTAGGTTGGTAGGTAGGTATGTGTAGTGTGTATGGTTGTAGTATGTTGTGTGTACATATAGGTGGTGGTATCTTCTGCACAAATCACAAATACCCCCTGCCCGCATACAGGTGGTGGACGGCGAGAACAGGGAGTACTGGGAGGCGGAGTTGAAAAAGGCCAAGGATACTTTGGAGTTTTGGCGATGCAAAAAATTTTATGCCAAGAGCTGCCTCAGCAAGTTCAAGTCGCGATCACGATCCAGGGGCCGCTGAGATCTACACGTGTGATAGAAGCCGTGGGTTCGGGGAAAAAATGCATGTTCTGCCCTCTGCATGTTTGGTGTGAGCGAGTCACAGAGTGCCATCCCCCAAATCCATGAATAGCCCGATGGCCCAGGCCCACCCATGAACTTCGACAGCCAGTGCGATCCCTGCTGGACACCCAGTTCCGTTTGGTCGTGCCGGCACACACAGTCTGCAAAATATGTTACATGTGCAATTCCTTTTGTGTGTGAGCGATTTACAGCACATCATCCCGGACCCGTGAATAGCCTTGCGAACTCCTCCGATGGCCCAGGTCTACACAAACTTCGGCTGGCATTGCGATCCTTGCGGGATACCCAGCCTCCGAAACATGTGCCGTAGGAGTGGAGTGGGCTTGTGTGTGCATAAGTGCAGAGATTCCAGAAGCATTGCATGCGACACTTTGTGTGGGATACGGAACCGCACAGCTTTTGGGCTTTGGAGTTTGTGGGCTCTTCCGTGCTGCCATGGATACCGGTGAGGACTCCCAAGTTTTTATCGAGCCCGAGAAAGCCGATCCTAAGGAGGCCAGGGAGGTCGTTGTTGTCACCGCCCCAGTAGATGTTCTTCACGGCAGCAACACAAAGGAGGTGTTTAGCGACAGCCAGGAGGTGATTCGCGAGCCAAAGAACAAGAAGCCCAGGACCAGCGAGAAGAAGACAGATGAGGACTAGTAGGGCAGGGTGACCAACGATTGTGACGGTTTTTATATGTGCGGTTGGTGGGAGGACCACTGAGTGTGCACCGTGGAGGAAAAAAACCTGGAGCGAAGTAGGTCTGTGTGACAAGATTCAGCAGCCTTTGCCCGTGTTTGCACTTCCATGCGGGCCCCAGACCTTAGAACCCGAAGCTCCAAACCCTAAAGCTTCTAACCCCAAAGCCATAAACAAACTTTACATTCTAAGGCCCGAAACACGTGAAACCATCGAAGCCCAGACCTAAAAATCACCATAGACCCTCAACCCTCAGGGCTGAGAAACCTGAAACCATGAAAGCCCACACCCAAAAAGTCAGAGTTTGAGCCTGGAAGTTTGCTAGAAATTTCCAGACAACTGCTAGGGGGGTATAGAAGTTTAGTGGAAGTTTCCACCAAACTGCTAGGGGGGGGTGGAAGTTTCAGTAGCAGTTTCAAAGCCACTCCGAAGCTAATGTCTCGAGTGTTTGTTACATTGTTGGCTAAACTGCTACCAAACTACTACCAAACTGCTAGGGTTTTGCTGTGGAAGTTTAGTGGAAATTTCTATCAAACTGCTAGGTAAGACCGTGGAAGTTTGATTGAAATTTCTACTAAACTGCTAGGCTGCTGCTTTGCTACCCTTTGGAAACTGAGTGAGTTTAATGGTTTTTTCTTATCCTAAGCTACTACACAAGTGTGTGGACGTGTGGAACTGCTAGTGCTTTTTGGCTCACTGTGTGGGCTGCTGCGATCGAGCTATAGCTTGTTGTTGTCCAGTTGTGTGCACAGAGGCAGCATGGGTAAGCCGAAGGGAACCGTTGCTTCGCCGTTGAAGATGCAGCCGAAGCCGACGAAGAAGACCTTGAAGGTTGCAAAAAAGCCTGCTATGGCATCCAAGGGTGACCGTGGCGACAAGGGCGACAAGGGCTTGATCAACCGCAGCATCGAGGAAATGAAGCAAGGGGTCTCCACGGACGAGTGTGAGGCCCGTGACAAGGGCAAGGCCCTCAAGTATACCAAGTTGAAAGAAGCTGGAGCATTGCCCCAGCACATTATCAGTTTGGTGGAAAACGAGTCCAAGAAAGCCACATCATCCCGCCAGTTCAAGACCATGGCGATTAACCGCCTTTTCCAGAGGGACGAGGACGGTATCATTTCCCTTGCCACGGGGGACAGCCTTTTTCAAGAATCCCAGGAAATCTTCACCCAGACGTATGCGAAGAAAAAGGAAAAGGCACTACCTCGGTCTATCATTCAGGGCCTCTACTTCCAGAACGATGCTAAGAGCTTCGAGGCCGCACTCGCCAGTGGCGATCTTGAAGAATGCGAAGAAGACGGCCGGAAGTTTTACAGCTTCAAGGAGTACACGGTTGCCAAGGTGGAGGGCAAGACCACGAAACACAAGATGCAGACGGAATGCGGGGTTGATGTGCAGGTCGGGTGCACTACTACTATACTACTACTATACACCACTACTACTACTACTACTGCTGCTGCTGCTACTGCTTCTGCTATGAGAATGTGTAAGCCAAATCCCAAGCACACCAAAAGCTCATTAGAACCAACATAAAAAAAGTAGGGTACTAAAAACAGTAGACGGAAACACTAAACCATTAGAACGAACATAAAAAAACTAGGGTACTGAATGAGAATGTGTATAAGCCAAATTCCAAGCACACCAAAAGCTCATTAGAACCAACATAAAAAAGTAGGGTACTAAAAACAGTAGACGGAAACACTAAACCATTAGAACGAACATAAAAAAACTAGGGTACTGAATGAGAATGTGTATAAGCCAAATCCCAAGCACACCAAAAGCTCATTAGAACCAACATAAAAAAAGTAGGGTACTAAAAACAGTAGACGGAAACACTAAACCATTAGAGCAAACATAAAAAAAAACTAGGGTACTAAAAGTAGGGTACTAAAAACAGTAGACGGAAACACTAAACCATTAGAGCGAACATAAAAAAAACTAGGGTGCTGAATTTTAGGGAATGCCCCGACCCATCCCGAGAACCTATATAAGCCCCTTGAACTTATAAGCCCCACCAAACCCCCCCTCATCCCATACCGAGCACTTCGTGAATAAGGAGCAGCGAGAGCTTCAGGCGGTGTTCGCTGCAGTGGGATGGACGATGATGGCTAGCAAGACGAAGAAGAAATTGGAGAACACGGCGATGGTCAACGAGGAAGGTGGCTTGACCGATCCGGCTGTTGCCCTCATCACCAAGGCCCAGGAGTCCCAGAGCAAGTTGCAGAAGGCGGTGCAATCCCCAAACCCAGAGAGAGCGACCACTCTACCCCATGAGAGTTTTCCAAGAGGGAATTAAACCAGCCCCACGAAACATGCAGGAGGGCATGCAGCTGCTGAAGTCACCCAAGCTGACGGAGAACAAGTCGATTCTGGACATCAAGAAGGGCTGTGCTATGTGTATGACATTTTCGACCCAGCCAGCTGGCTCAGATCGTGGACTTCCAAGTCTTGCCGGATGGAGAATCCATCTCGAAAGCAGGGCTGGATGCTTTCCTGAAGACCGTGGCCGAGGCCACTCGCGATTTCAACGAGAAGTTGGAGGTGACCAAAGGTCTCCTCCGGAGCAAGAGCAACTGATGCTCTTCCCACATGTGGGGCAATGGGATCGATTTTGATGTCTGTGTGGACCTCCACAGGGCCTTACAAGCTTCAAGTCTTACACACAGCAGTTTCCGGCGCTTTTCTGCTTAGATCCAAACAGCTGTTGAATGTGACGGAGGCCCACGGCTTGTGCCGATCCGTTGCCGATCCGTTGTGCACTCGCACACACACCTGTAGGCTTTTGCTCAGAAAAAGAAAGTGAGTGTGTGCTGGCAGACCGAAGCAAGTGAAGTGTTCGTGTGATTGACATGAGCCTTGAACCTTATTCTCACACTGCATGCGGTCAAAACGAGGCCACATCTTGCATCAGATCATCGTGTGCTGGGGGCCCAGTTTTACCGGTCATCGTTTGGTCGCTGGAAGCAAGAACAGGACACAGTCGGTTTGTGCGATGATGCAAGTGCTGGCGATTGGAGTGTGTGGCATGTTTTCCATGTAGGTCAAGCTGTGATACAACTCTAAAGTATATAGCACCTAGAGTAGATAGTCCAACTCCGAGGTGTTCGTGGTTGCCCTCTCCGGTCGTGCTCTCCATGCTGGCAGGCCGAAGCAAAACATGAGCCTTGAACCTCATTCTCACACTGCATGCGATCAAAACGAGGTCACATCTTGATCTTATCATCGTGTGCTGGGGGCCCAGTTTTACCGGTCATCGTTTTTGGTCGCTGGAAGCAAGAACAGGACACAGTCGATTTGTGCGATGATGCAAGTGCTGGCGATTGGAGTGTGTGGTTTTCCATGTATAGGGCAAGCTGTGATATAACTCTAAAGTATATAGCACCTAGAGTAGATAGTCCAACTCCGAGGTGTTCGTGGTCGCCCTCTCCGGTCGTGCTCTCCAGGTGGGATACACTCAGGGTTATCATGGACTCTCACGGTTGCCTAGAGGGCTTGGGGTATTGGATTGGTTTGGGGTGTTGCGGGCATTGGTTTAAGCTCGGTTGAAGCCGCTTGGGATATTGGAATGGGCCGGGGTGTTGGGGCTTATAGGTTTAAGCAGCTTCCGTTACGGGGATCAGTTCAGGTTAAACGGCTTGGGTACTGGAATGGCTTGGGGTCTTGGGGCTTTTAGTTTCAGGGGTTCGAGGTATTGGAATGGCTTGGGGTGTTAGGGCTTTGGGGTATTGGAACGGGTTGGGGTGCTGGGGCTGTAAGTTGATAAGGGGCTTGGGGTATTGGAATGGGTTTTGGGGTGCTACAATCACTGTTGCATACAATCCTATTGGACCTTCCCAAACACGGACAACCTGAAAAGCATTATAACCCTAAAATACATAACTGCTAGAATGCTATAGTATATGCTAGAATCTATAATTCCATATGTGTATTTCTTCTGAACCGTGCCAGCAATACCCAGGCCTGTATGAGCCACCGAATCCACAAAAGCTTGTAAAACCGCTGAAAACTTGTTCCAAGAATCCGCACAACCTTGCCTATGTACAACCCTTTATAGAACCCTCGAATCATTCCATCATTTCTGAGCCCTACAAAAAGCTTAAAAACTCCAGGCCCCGAAAAGCGCCTACACCTGAAGCAGTACCCAACCCTTGACATCCGAAATGGCACAAAACTTATATAGAAATTATGTGGAGTCTCACCAAGGGGTTATACTAAAGGGCTTTAGGGGTGTGACTGTTTGTTGTGATGCTTTGGGTTTTAGGTTTTAGACTCCTGGAGCTAAGGTTCGGGGATAAATCAGGGTGTTGTGCCAGTTGGGGTTTATATTATACATTGTCAGGTTGGCAAGTGCTGGGTGTTTTGGGTTAAGGGTGCTTTCGGACTGTAAGGCTTTTTTTCGGTGTCCGCAGACTCAAGGTCAACAGCCTTGTATTGTTAAGCCCACAATGCCCACCGCCAGAAAACACTCCCACCGCCCGAAAAGCCTATTCCCAAGCATGCTCGTGCCTTTATGTTATATACTGTACAGTCTGTAGTCTCTGTACACATCCTCCATACCCATGCAAAGGGTCTCTACAAGAACAAGCTGTGCGATCGTGTGTCAGCAATGAAGAGAACAAGATCGGGAGGACAGCGGCAGAGGATCGCAAAAGCGATGGCAGAGGAAAACTCTGCAGCTGGGGACATGTCTTCTTCGAGCCTCCTGGTGACTTGCCTGCTGACTGAAGTTGTGTGGGGGCTGATGAGCCCACAGCAGGCACAGCACATCAGCAATTTGGCCATGCTGGATATGAGAGCTGGCCCAGCAGCTGTTAACGAAATTTCGACAATGGCTGCTTGCGGCTGCAATGGGAAATATCCGAACAAGTGCTATGCCGACATAATGAAGAACTGTGTGCCTGCCGAGGTGAAAGTGCCCTCACCTTTCCTGTTTCCCTTACCGATGAAAGATCCTGTTGGGGAGATCGTGCAGGCCTGCCTTCTGCCGCATGAATTATTCGCCTCAGTTTGGAGCTCCTACAAGGCGACATGGCATCATTCGATTTTGGGATCTGAAGGGCGACTTCAAGAATTCTGGAATACAATGGAGCAGGGCCGTCATCCAGCTGTGACCCCGGAGCTTTTGAACAGCAAGCCCGGATTCCGCAACACTTGTGTACCACTGGGCTTACATGGTGATGGGGTTCCCCTGACTGGAATAGGGAAAAGTTGGCAGCAAACAATCACCAACTTTAGTTGGTTCAGCCTCCTTGGAGAAGGAAAGACCGAGGAGACACTGTTTTTTATATTCGCCTTGTTCGACAAATTGCGAGTCTTGGGTTCGGATGCCAATGCGACCGCTCATCGATTTTTCCAGCTGCTACATTGGAGTTTCCGGGCACTTTTCCGAGGCAAGTGGCCCACTCATGACTTCCAAGGCAACCGGCTTCCTGGCTATTTACGAATGCTCGCCATAAGATCGAAGCTTTTGTATATTATACAAGGTATATGAAGCCCTTTTCTCGAGCCTTTTTTGTTTTTCAGCCAGGGGATGCAAAGTTGAGAGTTTAGGGTTTGGGGATTCGTGTATGTAGGGTGTAGGGTTTGAGTGCTCATATATATACATATATATGTATGTATGTATATATATAGGGTTTACACATATACCCACGTATATTTTCGAATACATGGAGGGATAATGTTGTTTTGCTTCTTCATTCGCAAAAGGTTCAAAGCCGGAACAACGTCAGCAATGAAAGCTGGTACTGACCTAGCAGGCGGCTACTCTGCAATGCTCTTCAGTTTCGTCGGTGACCTTGATTATTATTTTACTGTATTGGGTCTTCCCAACAGCCGGGCCGTGAACGGCCCCTGCACACTTTGTGCAGCCCAGAAATTTGGACCCCGCTCTTGGATGGATTTCTCCCCTGGTGCCGAATGGAGGCAATCCTGCTTCACAGCCGAAGGATGGTTCGAATCTTCGCAGCGGACATCATGTCCGCTGTTTTCCTTACCACATGTCAGTGGACTCAATCTTGCATATGACTGGATGCACTGTAAGTATTTGGGGGTAGACCAGTACATGTATGCCGCCCTGATGGTCCTTTTGACACATTATGTTATGCTCGGGGCCACACCTCTTGAGAACCTACGAGCTTTGTGGCGAGACTTGAAGACGGAGTACGAACGGCAGCAAACACCGATTCGTTTTAGATACTTGACATCCCTGCGGATGTTCGTACGATTGCGAGGATCTCCAAAATTACGAGGCAAGGCTGCCGAAATAAAATACTTGGCAGGTCCATTTGCAGCAGTATGGGACATGCACAAGACTGCAGGGGTGGTCCTGCACGACCAGATAAGCATCATGCTGCGACTGAATGCCCGTATCGAGGAGATTCTGCTTGCTCACCGTGGCGACATTTCTTTTGGTAGTGATGCTGGTGTTTTCAAAGAGGCCCTGGACGGGATGCTGCTGCTGCAGTATAACATCTCCCAAGAGCTTGCTGCTTCCGACCCCGCCATCATCATGAGCATAACTGAGAAGGCACATTTTCTACAACACAGCTCCATGCTTTCTCATTGTTTGTCGCCGAGGTTGGTTTGGGCCTTTGCTGGCGAGGACCAGCAGAGAAGAGTTCAGGCTCTGGGCAAGGCCAGTGTGAGGAGACTTGGACCCACTGGTGCATGCTTCAAGATCGCGGGCCGCTATCGTGTTGCACTTCACTTGAAGTTTTCCGAGCACTCCAAGGCAGCCACACCCTGAAAAAGAAGGACCTCTGGGATGTCCGAATTTCACACCAGCCGTTTTTTGCAACATCTAATAAGCCCTTCAAACATACCGGAGACCATCTATGAGCCCTTTATAAACACCCACAATAACCCTATATATGGATGGGATGGGTTTCGTTGTCGTGTGGGTATTCTGTGATCATATTTTGGATTCTTCGTCATTCTATACCACAGCCCACAGGAGACATGATATTCTCTCGGAAGCTTTCGCACTCACAGACAAGACCTGTCAGGTACAGTTGTGGTCTACATCTACTTCAAGAAGGAGACGGCGAAAGGCGCCGAAGAGAGAGCACAACCTTGAGTGAGAAAGGCACACCAAAGAGAGAATACAACCTTGAGGGTGCGAGAAACACCAGACAGAAAGAGTAAGAAAGAACAACCTCGAGAGACCCAAAGGGAACAGTGTCAATTTTGCGAGCTTGACAAAGCAAAAGGACAGAGAGAGACAATTTATACCAAGAGCTTCTCTAAAAGAATCATACCTACCTATACCATATATACATATGTGTGATACATACAGGCACACATTTTTAAATCGAGTTTAACTTTTTCCACACAGAAAGATCTGAAGAATTGTACCTTTGCCTGTTTGATGAGCTCCGGCAAGATCACAGAAGATTTAGCTTTACCTCTGTGCATATATCTGCACGGAAAGATCTGAAGACTTATACCTTTGCCTGTCTGCTGAGCTCCAGAAAGATCAGAAGAATTACCTTTACTTCTGTGCATACTTCCACAGAAAGACATGAAGAATTATACCTTTGCCTGTCTGTTGAGCTCCAGAAAGACCAGAAGAATTACCTTTACCTGTGCAGATCTCCACGGAAAGATCAACAGGAGC